ACTCAGGACACATACCTAATAATCACTCTAAAGTTAATGGCAGCAAAAATTTGTTCTACTAAGTTATTATTCAACTATTGTAAAAGAGGGCTTCATACACACATATCCGAAGATAATATCTCTAGACTATAAAATTAAAGGAAAATGCTAAATTGTATACAACGCATTATCAATTAATAATGTATAAATAAAAATGTAATTGATGATTTATCTTAATATACTTTAATATTTGTATGTTAATACTAAAATTTGATTAGTTTTCGTAAATTTTACTTTTTACTAGTTTGTACTCAATTATTATAAGAATCAATTTGATTTATATTGGTTGGTAAAATATTAATCCTTTTCCTTTTTTTTTATTGTTTTAATTTCTAACCACTGAATGATTTAATTAGGGGTCATTTTTACTGTATAATTATGGGGAGTGTGCCTTTTACTTTCTATGTGGTTGACTTTTGTTTAAATTATTGTCTACTACGTTTAAACAATGTCTTTTGGCGTTCAAATGTAAAAATAACTTTGTTATCTATTCTTTGATACGCCACATTAGTAGTTATAACTAATTGTAGTATCTGGCATAGGTTTAAGGGATTTCCGTTTTGTAAATGAAGGAACTTGACAGCCTTCTCTTAAGACCTTTTTAAGCTAAGTGATATATTCTCAAGGTTATCAACAATCAATTTAATTAAAAAAAAAGTTTATATCTATGATACTTGAGTTTCCTATTTGCAGATATGCTTAACTTTTGCTTTTACGTAGTCTAGTATTGAATCTTATAAAATTATAGTGCCCCTATTCACAACTGTACCTTAATATTTATTCGTGATTAGGAACTCGAAGTAACTAGCCTTTCTAATATCTTTTGTTATACACGATGACAATTAATATTAATAAGCCGCCTTCCTTTAGCATATATCTATCAAAAAAAAATTAAACACGATTACAAAAAGATTCATCGCCATAACTTACTAACATGTTGATAACATTTCCTTTAATCAGACTATTTTTGTTTCCCAAATTAACTTTGCCCAAAAAGGCGAAGTCAAACTGAAATATCTTAATTTTATTTTATTATTAAAAGATGAATGTACATATAGACAAAGTGGCGGCAAATTAGACCCTGCAAGTTTTAGTTATATAAAGTTAGATTTTCCACTTTGTTACTATAAACAATAGGTAACTTTTGGGGGGCAGTTAACTTACTTAATACGATGAAAATTAGTCTAAAGATTAAGGTTAATAACAGATATGGAGTTTAAGTTAACGTTAAAGGAAAAGCAAAAGCTAGCTATGCTAGCTTCACTGCTTTCGATATATTGTCCTTTGCTTGAGTTGACTTTAATTTGTACTCTTCACGGCCTTATCTATGCCTAGAGGTACCTCTATGATCGAATTTACCTAATTAAAATGATTGAGGAAAAAAAAGTATTAAAACCGGCCATGTTGTCCATAAGAGTTATTTCGCTTTTCTTTTAGGCTGTCACTCTAAGTTTTAGAAAAACTTCCAGAGTTTACGATAAGAGTCAAGTGTTTATTAACTTGCGCTGAGGACTTCTGTTCTACCAAAATACATTATTGGTTGCTTCGGTAAGTTTCTTTTACATTACTTAAAGGATTTTTTGGGTTTTTCCGGGATAACTTGGCTTTTAAAAACTTTCAGGTTGGGAAGGCGTAGTTTTATATAAGCTGGTCTCCAATAATTACTGAGGTAATTGTCGGTGGTTATTAGTCAAATTTTGCCTACCTTTACTACACGACTTACCAAGACTCTAAAAAACTTTTTTTGTGCTAACTTATAGTTACTGTTTCCTATTTACGGGTGAAAGTTTTCTTCAAAATCAGTACTGAAAAAGTTTAAAAACAGTTTCTTTATCGCCGAAAATAAAGCAGTCACCACCGTATATTTTAAAAAGGACATCTCTTAAAAAATAACTTCCGCAACTACTAAGTCAATTGTTATATCCATAATTTAGTTGCAGTAACATAGTTTTGCATAATTATAGCATATAATTTGCTAAATGGAGTCTGACTAGTGCTCAATAGAAAAGTCTAGCTGATTCTTTTAAAAAGTATATCCGTGGTGTTTACGTTTATAATTGCTTTATATATGCCTACTGCGTGCGTGTTCAAACTTTTAAGTTGTCTAAAATATCAATTTGAAGTACTTAGTCAAGCACAGGAGGGAACACTTCAGCTTCTGGCTTTTGTGGCTTCCCTGCATAATATATGTAGTTTCCTGGTGGTCAATAGTTTTTTGTTGACTTCTGATCTTCAAAACTCAAAAAATAGTAAAACAGACCTGTTTAGTTACCGCTTCTCTCGCTGTAACGTATTTATGTAAGTTTATAGTTCCCAAACTTCTCTGTCAAGCTGGTTGCGCTTTCTTTATAAGATTTCGTCATATAGTCTTATCTTTGTTTAGTACGGCGCTTCCTTGACCTAAGTTTCTCTTTTACAGTATATATAAAGTTGTTCCACGTAACATATCACCTTTAAAACTTTTGTCTATTACAATTTAAGGACTAAAAGCCGGTTCAATAAAAAGAACTAGAGGGCGTAGTTAACCTTTTAAAAGCGATTCTCTCGTTTTTTATGTCATGTTTAAATCGTTTGTGGAGGTGTTCACGTCGATGCTGTAGTAGTTTTATAGCTTTGTTTACTCAAGACTTAAATAATCTACCTCTTGCACACTAGTTCTTAATTCGCCACGATATAGGGATAATAAAAAAAGAAAAGACAAAAATAAAGTTGGACCAAGAAAATATAAAAAATTAAGAAAATAAAAAAGCAAGGAACTTGCAAATATTAATAAAACCAGGTAGTGTGTGAAAGTAAAATAAATTTGTAAAGTTGTTAAATATCCTCTGCAAAAGTTAGATCTCAACAATAGAGCAACAAAATGTTGAGGAACATATAAGTGTTTAAGCAAAATGGAGATAAAATGAATAAACTAATAATTTGAAGAACGTTAATAAAAATATAAGGAAAAGTATACCAAAATGAAGTTAAAGAAACAGCTACAAACGCGAAACGTTCAAAGTTATTCACCTACGCACTTATCGAGCAACGCCCGTTAATGAAAATTAAAATATTCAAAGAAATTATACTTCTCACCGACGGTATAAAGAAGTTTATGTACGATGTCTTACAGCCTTATGTTTACTGTACCTTCCTATGGCTCTGAAGTGTTTTTTGTATCTTAAGGAGAGGCTGTTAATAACCTTAATAGTTCATACTAACCAATTTAAAAACATTAAGAAAAAAAAATATGAGCTAAACGTATCACTTGAACAAAGTAAGTGGAATTCCTTATAAAAGCACTGTTAAACGTACAACCTTTTATGTAAGCATAGTGTCAATTCTAGTTCGAAAGACGTTAACCTTAAAGAGGTTGGAAATATAATCTAGCTCTAGAGAGTACTAGATAGCACTGCATACAAAATGATAAAACATGGCTTTTTTATGACTAATTCAATAAAACAGTGATAAGGAAAAGGCTATTACTAGGTCCATTTTTAAACAACTTTAGACTTTAACCAAAAAAAAAATTGTTTAATACCAAACCGTTATTTTTTAAAGAACTAGATTAACGGATATCAGTGAGCGCAAAGAAGTAAATACTACAGCAAACTAATAATTTATAGGAATCAAAACAGAGTAACACAATAGAGTTAATTATTATGTTAAAAACGAATAATAAAAACTTTTTAAGTTTTCAAGCTCTTTTTTTACTAAAGCAAACAGTAAAAAAAAACTTAAAAACGGGCAATGGGCTAAAACGGAGTCACTTTGTGTAGGATGCTAGTAAGTACGACAGGCAAAAGCTATAAAAACTTCAGTCAATTATAACTTTCATAATAAAAATAAATTATATAGCAATCTGTTATAATTATAGTTATACGTTTACACAAAACATATTAAAAGTTACTTACTGTCTCTCACACGTGGGATCAGCCTTAAGCAACCTTCACTTTGCGCGAATCCCCCTTGACTACAATACTTTTGAAACCGTTCAGTGGTACCGTTTAATTTTTTTTTAGTTGAAAAAGAGAACATTTTTACAAAAATATTGAAAGTCGCCCTTGGCGTGAACTCTGCAGCCAAATCATCTTAATTTATTAAGCAACTAAACATGGAGCACTTTATGTTTCATTAAAACTGCTGTCTTACTTTTTTGCACTCCTGTGCTATTTTAAGGTGAGAAATAATATAACCAGCGAAATAAGGTTACTTTTTTAAATACAAAAAAAACCGTACGCAGCGGTCTCCAGGTATATAGCACTTAAATGAATTTTTGCAAAGCTTAAGCCGTAAAAAATAAAACTTGTTTAGTGAAGCCGAGTGCTATTTAATTCCTAAACTTAAGTCAGCACTCTAACGAAAGAGCTTAAGGTCCTTCCTTTAGGTAAAGCACTATATATCTTTCCTATTAATAAAACACAAAAAAACCTTTTGTTTATTGCCAAAATAAATAAAAGGATACACTGATTTTATAGTATAGTACTAAAAAGCAAAAGCCCGCTTGTTTTTTAGCTAGTAATGTCTTTTTTGCTCTTACTAGAAATAAAAAAGTATACTGGTTATTTATATAGAAGTGTTATAAAGCCAGAGCTTGCTTATTTTAAAGCTAGCGATTGCTATTACTAAGTGAGGCACGTAATATAAGCCTGACTTCGTTACGCCCCCAATGTTTGTTTACTTTACCTTATGGTAGTATTAAAAGGTTTAACTGGGCCACAATATATTTATGGTCGCAAGTGAATATTAAATGTTTTTAAAGTTTTTTTTAAAAGTTTCTAAAGATAATTACGACAATCACAGCCTCAGAATTAAGCATCACTTTTCTATATTAGTTACTTAATAAATGTAAATTATCATTACTAACAGCTTATCTACTTTTTCTTATAACAAATACCGTAACAATGTTATTTCCAACCAAATCACTCGCCTTCTAAGTTAAAGTCAAAAAAAACGTGACTCAGTTTATACGGAAAATTTAAAGGTTTTAATATATTGCAGTGCTTTTTGAGGCTTTCTTGGCTCTATCAGCGAATTTTGCATATATAGTGGTAGAAATAAAAGCCATAGAGCCAAAGAGCACAGGCACTAAGAAATAGTATTCAAGCGATAGCGACGTGTGTTCGGTGAAATTTCGCTTGACGTCAACAGTAATCCAAAATAAGATTAAGATGACTCCAGTCAGCCTATAACAGTCGTTAATTTATATAATAGTGAAATCCTGATGAGTAGTGGTACCCGCAAAAAGAAGAAAAGTAAGCCAAAAATGGTTTATACAGAGACGCACTTATTAACAAAATGCTGAAAGCAAAGAGAGTAACTGAAAAGGTCAACAGGATGATTCCTTATTAATATATGATTAACATTATTATAAAAAAGTAAAAAAAAGTTTTTAACAAAATAACACTTTTTATAAAGTGTAAATTAAATTCACATTCCTGCTTTTATAAAGATATCATAAAATTTAAAAAAGTAAATTGCATTTCGAGACTATATATATTAATAAACCTCTTCTATAAGGTTCGCATAAATGTTTAATTAAATTTGTTCTTTTCAAATTCCCTATTATTTCAACTAGAAAAATTAAATTAATAACTTGAAATACTTATATATATAAACTGTGCTATAAAAACAGAGGCTTAACCAAAGTATTAATATTGATTTAAAACAATAGAATAATCATTAAAAAAAATCAAAATTAGTCTGTTGCTTATGTTCCTAATTTTAAGATAATAAATTTACTCATAATATACAGGGCGAAGATAGATGAAACTAAACTGCTCTGCACGAGTAGAATTAATATTATAACTAAATGAAACTAAATCATATTATAAAATAGTGAATGAAAATATGTAATACTTGAGGGTTAAGTATTATTTTTAATATAAACCAAAAAAATCTTTTTAAAGTAATTAAAATTATGTATTAGCTTCAAGTAGTCAGGAGATAATATATAGATATTAATATATACTACGCTAGTAAAGTAAAACTAAATTAATAACTTTAAAAAAAGTGCACCAAAGCGGCGGATGCCTTCCCTCATTAGCAAACCAGAAGTTTGACTTGACGTCGAAAATCCATTAACAAAATTCGTGTTCGGTGCTTAAGGGTTATTATTAATATTTATAAAAGAATATTATGGCTCTAACTTTAAAAACCACGCTGGAAAAGTAGCGTTAATATTATAACAATATTTGAAAAAAAGCTAAATTAGACTAGACTAATTTTTTACTTAATATTTTTTATTTATATAGTAACCTCCAAAAACGCGGAACTCTTCCCTTTGCAGATCTATAATAGATAAAAAGTATTAATAATTTCCATAAAAGCAAAAATAGACTAAGTATATTATAGAGATACCATGTAACTTGTATCTCGTTCCCATATCTGGTCATAAAATAAATATGATAAAATCTATTAGTCATAAATTATTGGTAATTTTTTTTAAAAAAAGGTTAAACAGACAAATTTTAAATAAAAAAAATTTAGAGTAAAATAAGAAATATTCCTACAAATAAAGGCTAATATATATAACTATGTACTAGTAAGAACAAAAAAGGTACTATCGTTAAAATAAGAAAGATGGCGAAAAATATAAGCAAACAATATATTTATCTTCTAAAGCTCATAAAAACAATTATTATGCTGTGGGAGTAAATCCTAATAAGCTTAATAAAAAGTAAAGAAAAGTATTTAATTTTACTTGTATAATAAGGTAACAATAATTTATAGAAATGTGATAAAATATCAAAATTAAATTTTAGAAAAAAATTAACTGTAAATGCTCTTAAAAATAATAATTTTCATTATAGTTGTTTTCTTAGGTAAAAAATTAAAAAAAATTCCGATAATCTTAAGTAATAAAACGTAAAATTTATGTTTAATAAAATACCCAATGTTTGAGGTAATTCGTAGGCGCTTATCACCTATTACAACATTTAAAAATAGTAAAAAAAAACAACGTCCTTCAATAACTTAGGGAGTCAAGTATATTTTAATTTAAAAGCAATAGAAAAGTAACCTGGCAAAGCGAAGATATGACTGAAAAGGTAATCTTAAATAAAATTAAGCTCTCATACAAAAAAAAAAAAAGAATTTCACCTCATTATTAGCAAAAGGTAAACGAAACAATAAGGCTGCTCCAACAAGTGCGACAACCCACAAAAGAAGATTGACACTGAAAAAAACGCTGGTCCACCCGGAAACCTTCATCGAACCGAACAAGAACAGAAAAGCTTTTCTACTATGTGGCACGCTTCAATTCATAAATATACTCCATATACAAATATTATTGGCATGCGTTTTTTTAAAACACATGGAGTTTGCCATGAAATGGTTGGTACGTAAAAAATCTTGATAAACATTTAATAACTGTAATTAGTAAAAGTGCTTTAAGTTGTTAACAACAGGTATTTTTTTAAATAATTTTTAATCATTTTATTCATAAAATTTAATTTATAGAATTAAAAAAAACATATTATCTTATTAAAATGTTTTGCTTATCAATAACGAATCGGCATTTTTAAAGGCTTATAAGCTCCCATCATTCTTGTTAACATGCGAAGAACAACTTACAAAAATTTTTGTTAGTGTATAATACAATAAGAAACCTATATCTAAATTTTTTTTTCTTATATGTAGGCGTTTAATTAATTTAACAGTTTATTTTTATTTTTAGATACTTAACCATTTAATTTTATAAAATTGTTTTAAAAAAACTTTGAAATTAACTTGTATGGGGCCATGTAAATGACCGTTGCTCGTTATTTATTTTTTTATAATTTTTCCGTAAACAGTAAAGTTATGACGAAATCATTAAAACTACGAAAACAACTATTACTGCAACCTCCACTTGTAAAGATGAACTTTACGTTAAGCAACCCGCCAAGTTTTTTTAACATACAATAAAAGTATCAAACATAATTAAATTGTCGCTAGAAATTTTATTTGTTTTTTTTAGCGTGGTTGAGGTGCTCCGCAAGTTTGAATTTTACTAGACTATTTTTAAACAACGGTATTACGCGAGCTGCGCATTTTTCGTTTGGTTGGAAACTACGTGCTGCTAAAAGCATCTTTATAATTAAACATGTCTCAATTACTCAAGTACACAACACTTCCATACTTGTAAGATTAACATTTATAAGGCAACGTTAGAATTGATAAATATTTTAAAGTATAAATTTTTTTTTATAGAGCATGTCACTTCCTTGGTCTCCCAGGCACCCGGCAATGGCACGCAAATGTTTCAATTATGGTATAAGCTGCTCGTGTTTTCGACTTGCAGCCCATAGCGTTCTTTCTGCAAACGGGGAAGAAGCTGCTTGAAATGTATTAGCCTTATCAGGCCTCGTGCTTTTAGCTTTATTGAATAGAAGCCATCTATACGGTAATATTGTTCGTTTTAATCTACTTCCACTTTCGCTGCTCACTAAAAAAAGGGGAGTCCACTTGTTATTATTCACTTTAATGGTAAATTTAAGCATTAATTAGTTTATTGGCTAGGTCCACTAAAAACAATTTAATTCGAACATAAAATTTTAAAATTACAAGGGTTTAACTACATCTTTAAATATTGAAACATGAATAGGTTATAATTAAGTTAAAAGAAATAGTGAAACAGAAAAAAGAAAAGGAGTAATGAAGAAATACAGTTACTTCTTTTTTTACTAAAAATCTTCATATATATGTATGTATATTCCATAAAGAATAAATAAAAATTACAGTAAAAAAATCAAGTTCGTAAATCTCCGAATCCATCATTATGTTTACCTTTTAAAGTATTTTTTTACTAAATATGTAACCAACATTAATTTATGATAGACTAAGTTGTCAATTTCCTACCATGTTTTTTTTTATTGAGGACACTTCCTGGTGCTCGCTCGGGTCGAAAAAAAAAAAACCGAACTTACGAGCTCTCAACCATATGTATTTAAAATAATTCTACCCCTAACCCATGTAATATATTTGGAGTCCATTGTTCCCTCGGCGATAACGTGTGCAGGCCCAGATTTCGTAGTTGAACTCACCTGTTAGTAGTCGATTAATGCGCTGACTGAACCGCTCGTAGGTGGCGACAGCATTACGTCGAAAAACGTTACTCAGAGGTTCAACCTAGTGACCTTTATACAAGGCGTCCTTGAGAACAAACCACGGTGCGCCGGTCATAAGGCGTAGAAGCTTATTTTGTCTACCTCGAAGCGAAAAATATTGATGAGTCGTAGGCCAGGCAGTAGACGCATATGTCATGATCGGTCGGATGCAAGACAAATACAAGCGTCGTTGGTTGTGTTAGTGAGAGATTGCTTCGAGCCCAAAGTGAAGGGTAAAGAGTTTGAACCGCCGCCTGGATCTTCGCAGCGATATAGTTTACTGCGGCGCCACGAGAGCTTCTTGTCAATTATGACCTCCGGGTACTTCGCCAGAGGAGATCATGGGGCTGTCTTATCGTCAAAGGTCGTGCGCTTCTTTGTAATAAAAAGGGCTTTGCTCTTTTCCGCGTTGATAGTAATTTTCCAACGACGACACCAGTTGGGGAGTGTCACTAGGTAGTACTGCAGATGCTGGCGCAATAGGGCAGGCGACTTTGAAGAGGAGTAAATCGACATATTATCCGCATACAAGGCAATCCGCGTGTGGGAGCCGTCAGGTTATGGTGCGTCGCGTTGATAAAGTGCAAAGAGTAAGGGTGATAAATGAGATCCTTGTGAAACTCCGGATGTTAGTAGTCTTAGGGGTGAGCGCGCATGGCCCCTAGTACATCAAAGACGCGGTCATCAAGGTAAGGTTTGATCACGTTAAAAGGAATAGTAGGAAGGGCTATGGCTTGTAATTTGTAAAGCAAGCCCTTGTGCCAAACTTGGTCAAACACTTTTTTCGACATCAAGAAAGACGGCGTCCGTCGCCTTGAAGGTACGGGTTGTCCACTCTGTCAAGCGGAAAAGTTGTTTAGTGGAATGTTCTTGTCGAAATCCAACTCTGGGACTCTGGCAGGGGGTGGCTTAAGTCTTCCTACCGTGTTACAAACTTTGCGTGCTTTTATAAGCAACATCCACTTACATTTAAACACGTGGCCTAGTGTCACCTTAGTCTGCTGTGGAAAGTAAACAGTCGTATCAATTTTTAATTAAAAAAAAACTAAACTAAAAAGAGTAGGATGAATGAAAGGTATATTGCTCGAAATGGCACAAAAGGTGTTTTTTTTATAAACCTCCTTTTTGAGTACTTTTGTCAGTAGTATAAATTATTTTAGGAGTTATAAATCCCGATGGCACACTCACAAGTGCAGATTATTACTTTGATTCTTACGCCCACTTCGGGATTCATGAAGAAATGCTAAAAGATGAAGTTCGCACTTTAAGTTATAAAGAAGCAATCATGAATAATAGACATTTATTTGAAGGTTTTTTTTAATCTTCGTTGTTACTACTATAGTTTTTACTATCATATATAATTGTAACTTCTTGGAATTTAGGCAAAACAATTCTTGACGTGGGGAGCGGTACGGGTATACTTTGTTTGTTTGCAGCTAAAGCTGGGGCCAAAAAAGTACTTTTTTTTTTTTAACCTTTTTATTTCTTTGTGTAATGTGAAAATTAAAAACAGGTTATCGGTGTTGAGTGCTCTTCCATCATCAAAATCGCGTCCAATATTATCAAAGATAACGGCTATGATCGTATTATCACACTCATCCAGGGAAAAATAGAAGACGTGGAGCTGCCGGTAGATCAAGTCGATATTATCGTTAGGTTCATCTTAGATTTCTAATTTTATTGATGCAATGGTCTAACTAATAAAGCGAATGGATGGGATACGCCTTATTTTACGAATCCATGCTTTCCTCTGTTTTGTTTGCGCGCGACAAGTGGCTAACTCCTAACGGTCTTATATTTCCCGATCGTGTAGTTTTGTGTTGTTTTGTTTACATTTAAACTTGTAATAATAATATTATTGTTGCTCTATTATTGAAGGCTTCACTTATTATAACTGCTATCGAAGATCAAGAATATAAAGCCCAGAAGATTGATTGGTGGAACAACGTTTATGGATTTAACATGCAATGCATAAAAGAGTTGGCCTTAAAGGAACCCCTAGTGGATGTTGTTAATAGCAACCAAGTCGTTACTAGGAGTTGTCCTATTAAAGTCTCGCGTTCTTTTTACTTACTCTAAATAGAAAATCAGTTTTTTTTTCCAGACAATCGATATGTTTACAGCGAAAAAAGAGGATCTTGACTTTACCGGCTTGTTTCGCCTGGAGGCCAACCATAACGACTACATTCACGCGTTTGTTCTTTATTTTCACATTGAATTTTCAAAATGCCATAAACCCGTACACTTTTCTACAGGTTTACTTTGACATAGATCTGCTTTAAACAATTAAATTATATTCCCAATCACACCCTGCAGGCCCTTTGGATCCCTACACGCACTGGAAGCAAACTGTTTTCTATATTGACGATGTGCTTGTTATAAAGAAAGGCGAAGTCGTTTCTGGACGCCTCCGTTGCCGGCCCAACGATAAAAATAATCGGGATATTGACTTTGAGCTGGAGTATTTGCACAAAGGCGCTATACAGCAGAGCGCTGGAATACGTGTATATACGATGCGATAATCGGCGCACAGGAGTTCTACTTTGTAGAAAAAAAAGATTTAAAATAAAGTTTATTGCTATATTACTTTATCATAAGTTATAGATTCATAAGAGCCATCCATTTTTTTTAAATAAATGGTTCCGCCTCGCATGGACTTTTTTACGTTCCGCTTAAACTGTTCTTCGTCCCTCATTGCCTCGCAAATTTCCTTAGTCAACCCATCATCGCTGTTCGGTTCCAGCATGAGATGTAACAAGCCTTATAATAAGAGTAAAATTAACTCTCTAATTTTTTTTTTCAAAAAAAAATATGCAACCGAGAATGAACATTGTTAATGTGAGCGTGGGTTTGTACTCCTCTCTTAAGATATTTAAACAAACGCCTCCAGTGACACTTAGATTGGGGTGGTATACTTTTTCTAAGACCGAAACTTTAGGAGGAGCGAAAGGATACTGCGAAGTAAACTTAAATTGAAAATTAAAATGGCCTCCCTTGTACGGCCCTTCATTTGTACATATAATTACAAAAATGTAATTACAATAAATACAAAAACCGACCAGAATCAGGACATATAGTTACCCGCAAATTCTTCAAATCCTTTTTTCCATTAATGAATGTTAGAGAGCACTGTGAAGGCAAGTAAAGCTCACCTAAGTCTTTGCTAAGTCTGATATCAGCGCTATCTAGTAAATTGTTATTTTTTATTATGTATTATTTTTAAATTAAAAAATTGATTTAAGTTATCCACTCTTGTAATAAGTCGCTACACAAAAGTTCACCTAGTTTAGAACCGGTCAAAGTATTTTCGATAGCCTCAGTTTTGTTTTCCTTCTCCTTTTTTTCTTTTAAATTTTTAAGCATTTTGATCCGAAATTGAGAACTTAATATTGAACAAAGCTAATACATAAATTATTAAACGTTTTTTAGGCCATACAAAAAAAGTTAAGGCAATATATCTTAATAACGTTATAATACAGCTCACTTTCATACTCTTTTGGAAGGCATATGCTGTGGGTGCTATCAGGTGGCTTCTATGTGAACAGATATGTGCTGTGCTTTTAATCGTCGGGTTACAGTTATTGTGTATCAGAAGCTTGTTTTAAATAAAGAGGTCCCACATATAAATTTAAGGAGGACAGGAAGTTTTTTAAATCCTTTTAAAAAAGCTAATCCTTCGGGATATCGTACGAGATCGTTTGTACTTGGGACGTTTAAACGTGTGTTTTACGCAATCCTTACATAGTATACAAACTCTATTTCCCATTAATATGTAACACTCTGGAAAAAATGTAAAATAAACTTTTAGTAGAATCGCCTAACTCAGTGTACTTTCTTAACCTTTTTTTTGATTTACCGAATATTTTACCTAAGAAGTTAAACATAAGTATATAATGAACTATAACGTAATAATACTAACAATGAATAAATTTTATTTAATAGGCTTAATAGTTTATCTAAGAAGACAAATCCACAATCTTTTGGTTTCCAAAGCCTGCGTGTTGTAACAAGAGCTAAAAGGCGGTGTACCTTTTTCCGTTTTTCTTAATTTGTACTTATTAAATCCTTTAACAACTTAAATCTGCTATATAAGCAGTAAACAGTTAGGCAAAGAAACAACGACTGAATTATATTTTAGATTTTTATAAAATAATGGTTTTATTAATATTAATTTTTAAGAGCCACAATATTCTTTTTTCTTTCTTGAGTGTGAGGGATTGATCCTGGCTTGCTGTGTATCCTTCTATTATCTTCTTTACGTTTTTGTGCTTGAATCATTAAAGTTTTAAGCTCTTTGGCTTTTTTAATAGACCGCGGCACGTGCCGGTGCCGCCGAATCCTTTTTATTTCTAACATAAAATAAAGCTTTTACGACATAGTAACTAAGAAGATCTTTATAAGTGCAGACCCGGATGATGCTGATATCTTTCTCTCAGTCTTTCACAATAATTCAATGCCGTTTGTTCACGAGGACTTACCTATACAAAAAAAACAAATAACGTTAATAATAATAATAATAATAATAATACAGATCCGAGTTTTTCTGCAGCTTTTGCCTTCCAAACACGAATATTTGTTTCGTCGCTTCCGGAAAGCACGAATTTTGCATCAAAAGTCCAAAGAACCGAAAAAACGCGCTTTTTCAATTATATATATAAGCGAGTTAAAATCGTCAATAAATACTAAAGCTTATTGGTTTATTGTTAGTAGTTGTAAAAATATAAGCCAACCAAAGTCAACAAAGTTCATCGTTAAAATATACATAAATAATGTATTTTAAAGTTTATTATAATTTAAAAAAAATTAAATTTTTCTAATATTTTATTAAATTAATAATAAAGTATTTTTTAAAGCATATAATAAATTATATTTTTCTAATATAAAAGTAAGAAGCTTTTAGATAGTAAACAGTAATATTTTTGATTATTTATTGGTGTATTTTACTATACATAATCCATATTATCTTAAAAAAAAACTTTATTATATAAAACTAATGAGCAATATAAAAAGGCTTTACTCGAAGTTTTTGTTATTCATATCAGTATGAAAATTACCTGCATGCGTTTTGTGTAATAAATTTCTCTACTGTGTCCCTTATTATACTCGAATATTCGTATGGTTCGGTCGTAAGAGCCTTTACCAATTAAATATATATATATATATATTTCAAAATAATGTTTAATTTATAATAGAAGTGTACATACATAATATTATATAATACGGAGTATAAATAAATTATAACTCACAAAATTTTATGATAATAATGATATTGAGTAATAATGATAAGAGAAAAATAAAATTAATATAATTTTTATTAAAAATATAAAATGACTAATTAATAGTGGAGTAAAAGTAACCATAAATAATTAAAAATATAAAAAACTAAAAGTAAAGATTTATAAAGTTATATATAAGAAGTATATAATAATAATATAATAATAAAAGATAATAGTAGCTGTAAATAAAAAGCTTATTAATATTATTCCAAATAGCAAAAAAAAAATGTATTAAAAAATAATTACTAAAATATAATAAGGAAAAACACTAGGATATTATATAATTTTAAATTTTAAAAGTTTCTTCATAGTAAAAAGTAAAAATTTAAAAAATATTATTATTTAAGATATGAGAAAGATTTAGAAGATAAATAATAATATTAAATAATTATCATTAACATAAAAAAATAAAATAGGAAATATCATAATTAATATATATATATATATATAATTATTGATAGTGTTTATAAGATAATGGTTATATTATTCAAGAAATAACGCAAGTAAAAAATAATAATGTTTACTTTTTGCTTATTTATTAGTATTTATATATAATTACGACCTATTAGTTAGTAATTAAAGGAAACTTTCTATTAAAGTTAAAAGCAAAGTTAATAATAATAAATAAAATATAATTAATAACTTTATTAAAATGCAAAAACGTAGTTTTTGTTAAACTATAATATCTGATAGTAAAGAATATATTTTATTATAAAAATCTATTAAGTCGGAATATAAAATATAAAACTTTTGGATAATAAGAAATATTAAACTTGCATATAGTAAATAATAAAGTTTAAAAAAAAAAAGTAGCGAGACCAGTAACAAACTCTCGGCCCGTAGGACTATAGTCAATAGAAAGAACGGCGGACACGTGGTCTTTGTGCACGTTAAGAGCACTTTCCAGCCGACGCATGTCAAAAGTATAACAATTCGAGTCCTCGTGATATATAAACAGTTATAATAAACACAAGCCACAATAGCTTTAAACATTGTCCAATCAAACAACATGTATAACTTATTAACGACCAATCAGAAACCGCAAACGAACTTCATTAGCAGCCGTAAAATTAAAGGCCTCGATAGGGTTCCATGCTATGTGGTTCGTCCTCATAGTTAATATAACTTTCTTAATAGACGTTGCCATTCTCAAATCATGAAGACAAATCGAACGATCCGAGCCACTGCTCGCCAATATTTCTACCTCATCGTTAAAAAAAGGGAAACTAAGAAACGAAACCTGCCAAAAAACTAAAAAAAAACCTCCACGGGGTTAAACTGGACGCTTGTCACCGTGTCTGTAGCAGAATCCCACTCAAAAGTATCCATCGGAGCAGAGCGGTGTTCGTCCCACAACTATGAATAGCGAAACATGTAAATGATAAAAAGGTGCATGACTAAAGCGGATCACTGCTTTTTTCTGTAGCGTAAATATATTTAAGTTGAGTAATACAAGTAAGTTGCCAGCAATAACGCACTTCACTAATAAAAAACTAATATTTAAGATATAGAATGCTAATATAAAAGTATATATTTGTTAAGCTTGATAATAGTGTACAATACAGGCAACCTGAACACGTGCTCCTCCCGTAGCAAATATATTTCTGCGACGATGATGGTCTAAAGAGGTAAAAGCCTGGTCAGACAACCACGTGTACTGAGGCAGCTGATCACTTCCGCCTATTAAAAAAAGGCACACTATATTTTTGGGTCTACATCACGATCGAAACATAAACAGCGAAAGGTGTATGCTAACACGATTATAATAATAAGTAAAAATATATTTTTTTACCACAATCTTCAGACAGCTTTCCCGAAAAGTGCTGCTGAATAGGCCACTTCTTAACAGTTTGGTCAGTCGAACACGTTAGAAAGTAGTCCCCACGAGGAGATACACAGACGCCACGTACGAAGCCTTTAACGATAATAATGAAGGTACTCATTATAAACAGCACGGTAACACCAGTATTAATAAGATTACTTTTTTTCTTAATAATAACAGCATTAATCATAAACAATATTCAAAATTTTAGATATAATGAAGTTTTATAATTAGATTTATAATAAATACAGATATAAACATATTAATATACCACAAAAATGTAAATATTCTTATTTACATATTAATAAAATAATAATAAATATATATACATCAAGCAAACTTTTTTGTTTTTATTCAATAAAATTTTTTTTATAATAATAAATTATCTTTAAATATATAAAATACAAACTCCGTGATAAGCAGTTGCACTAAAATTTCAGGTTTTTTAGAAAATAATAGTAATGACAAGAAATATTTACTATAATATATAGTAATGTCAAGCAACAGTGTATAGTGACGCTAAGCAGAATCAAAAATAATGATTAATATTATTAAAGTAAAAAAAAATTTATTAAGAAAAAATGCTAAAATTATTATAAAGTAAAGCAAACATCATTATAACTAATTACGCACTTAACATAAAAAAAAAATTAAATTAAGTGGATCATTATATAATTTTAATATTAAAAAAATGAGAAAAATATATAATTATTAAATGTTACTAGAAAAAAAACCAAAACTTTTAACTTATATAATCTCGCCAATAAAAAAAGAGCATTATTTTATAAATAGAAAAATTGCTACATGTAAGCTCCAATAATAGTAGCCGTCTCAAAGTTAACAATCATATTACGAGTAACTCGACACCCATCAGTAATAGAGAAAACTACAGCGATTACCACAACAGGCCTAAAATATAAACATCCAGCGCAATAAACCGAAAAGTTCAATTGTAACAACCTTAAAAAAACAGAAGCAGCCCAAGTACATTTATTATTATATACGTTATATATATAAATCACTTGTTAGCCTCCACTAAATTTTTAATAATATAATTAATGTTCAAGTAAACTAGCGAACTCCCTTACAAGAATTTTGGTTTTTAACAGATATTTTTTATAAGTACTTCTACCATAAGCATCTAAAACTCTTATTTCCCTCTGATTAATGTAAATAGCTAAAGCATTTCACGAAATTTATATATAGAAGAAGAATGTAACAAAAAACTATATTAGCTCTAAATAATAATAATTCTCCGAAAAAAATTGTTCCGCAAAAAACCCATAAAAGACGCTCCAAGGAAACAATAAAGAAAAAAATTCAAAAAAAAATAAAATTTTCTTAGAAAACAAATTTTTATTAAAAAAAAGCCACCAGCACTTACGACTACAATACAAATAAGAAAGTAAATTTTTATAAATTTTAGAATAATTATATATTAATATGTAGAGAAAGCTAAATTATTAAAGAATTACTTATTAATATACATACAACAATAATAAAATTATATATAAATATTAAAGGTAAGTATTATCTTAGATCCTCTTTTAAAAAAGGATAGATTATAAAATATTAACTTTTTATTTAAAACTGAAAGGAAAACAATAATGTATAAAACAAATAAACAAAAAATGTATAGAAATTATAATTAAATAATGTAAAGTATAAAACATTAACTCTTATAATATATAAAATACTGAAAAATAATTAAAATTTTCTAAATTTTTAAATTATTAAAGCGTTTATATACAATAAAAAAAGTTTAGTAAGCAAAGTCAACGAGAAAAAAGTAATTCTAATTTTTATTTATGACAAGAATTTTTTAATTAAGAATAATAAATAATTCAAAAAAACTTTAACTTGTATAAAAGATTTTAAAATTGTAAAATCAATATTTTATTTTTATATAACCAAACTTGTTACTACGACAAACATTTAATTTTTTTTATAACAAAAAAAAGAGTTAAAAAAATGTTTATGGTTAATATATATATACCTTTATGAGCTTGTACTGACCAAATATTTTTCATAGTACCAAGATTCCATATTTTGACTTCACCATCGCAAGATCCAGAAATAATGGTTTGGAGATTTCCAATGTCTTTAGCCTGAAAATATAAAGTTTATAAATTCAATCAATTTTATATAAAGTTTAATAAAGTAATACACTAATAATTTTCAACAACAACAACAAAACTTAATATTAACGCAGGACCAAGCAATGGATGCCGTCACGGTGTCCCTCAAGAGCTCTAATAAAAGGACGAGCAAATATTTTTTCTAACTTGACGGAATTTAGAGCTCGTATGTATTCCCTTCCCTAAGTATAAAATAAAAATTAGTGCTTGTTAAAATTAAAGAATATGCAGTAAAAACCTTCTCAAAAGGATGAACTTCAGGAGCATAATTGCGACATATCCGAAAAATATCCTTTTTAGCTTTTCTAGTGTAATTTTCCTCTAGACGAGAAATTGTTTTAATTTTCATATATAAATTATGCTAATACTTATATTTTTTACGACATGTAATATATTCTTACAAATTTAGCTAAACTATTTCGTGCCTTCCATTCAATCACGTGAGGACATGTGGTGTAATTTTTGGGCTGTTTTTATTATACTTTTCGGTTCTCGAACAATTTCTACCGTTATATAAGTAGTAGTCCATTATTATTAAGATATCTGGTATTTAAAAAAAAAAATTTTTTTTCCAACATGTAACTCCTATGTAACAATATATATGCGTGTAACATTTTATATAGCAGCGCTAATACTCATTTAGCTTTGGGAAATTTTATTGAAAGTTGTCCAGTAAGTAAATTACATTTTTGACTTTGGTGGATGTGTAATTGCAGGGAGTGAGGATTAAGGGCTTGGTAAATATAGAAAACTCACATGGAAGACTGAGTGTTTTTATGAGAGAGCTCCTCCCTTTTGGTGAGATCTCAGCCTGGAAGGATCAACTGCCAGTGCCCTTGGGTCTTGTGCCTACTCTCCCAGTGGTGGTTTTTAGCGTTTTTACACCATACCAGGCCGAATAGCGGAAGTTCGGGTCCGACTCTTTTCCGCTTTTTCAGTCCTTCGGAACAGTCTTTATAGCTCTCTAAAGGGCGTAAACTTGTGGGCACTCGTGCCTCACCCCTGAAGAGGAGGGGAATTCTGAGTAAGCTGTCTAAGATCTTAAGAAGACCTACCTTAGTATGCCTGTGCTAACAAAATTAAAAAATAAAAAAATTAAAAAAAGTTTTTGTGGCTTTCCCATTTCTCTCTCTTGTCGTTTAAGGTTACAGGTGGGCCCGATTGCGAAAAGAAAAATTATTAAAACTTTTAAAGATTATATCGACTTATTATGCAATTTATTAAGCCTCAGCACGATATGGAAGTAAGAGAAGTTATGGAGGCTGCCAAGTTGAAAGATGAAAATCTGGACTTACTAGTTGCGGCAGTAGACCCGAGATCGCACCGATATCTTAGAAAAGATTTTTCAGGTTGGATGGTGCTAGGGGGGCCTCCAGTCTATAATAATTCTACTAATCGTAGAGTGGTATGTTAAGTTTGCGGTGGTAAATTATAAACGTGGTTTCCCAAACTTTTAAATAAAACTCAGGGAATTTGTTTGAACTTTCAAGTGGGGGAAAGGAGGCCGCACCGTGTGACAGCAATAGCATCGTTAGAGGAAGCTTTAGAAATATTGGTTGTTAAATTAAGTTAGACACGGGGTCGGATAGAAGCTAAGTTAGTTTAGTGTGAGCTAGAGAGAGAGGTTTAAGAATACGAAGAGAAAAGTTCCGTTACTGCGTTTTTGGAGGGGGAAACTTTGAACGTGCAGGTGCACTACGGGAAGTAGGAAAAATTAACTTCATAAAAAAAAATGTCCTAATATATGAGGTTAATCATGCTCTTCCTGATTGGATGGAGAAGTCATTAGGTGAGAAGGATCTAGAAGAGCTTGGATTTAGACTGTCCAGTGAAGTGAAAAAATTCCAAAATGGAACTACAGAATGGAAGGGATCCATAATAATTATTATAGGTATGCGGAGGAGACCGTCATAACGAATACTTCTGAGGCGACTAGGGAAATCGGATTAGTACCTTTGAAAGATATAACACGCAGTTTACAACATTTGGTCATCTCAGCGATGTGAATTATTTGGCTAGAAGGATATATAATTTAAGATGGCGGCCAGATGAATGAGCTTCAAGATTTTGGATCAACTTCTAGTGGTCCTAAAAGAAGGAGCGACGCCCGTATGATGAAATACAAGATGAGAGATCCCCTGAACGTATTTGGTAATGAGGGCGTGTGAAAAGTTCTTAAAGCTTGGAATGCTGGAACCTTCTGATGACTTTAAATGGGATCATAGTCATGTAGTAGCTGAGAAGCTAGAGTTAAAGTTTTCCAGGAAGCAGGATATAGATAGGGAAACCTGAAAAATACATGGGAATGTGCGATGCACTGCAAGGTTAAAATGAGCTTTATGTCATTTAAAAGTATGTATTGCCAAAGAAAAGGTCTATTAACATTAAGACTCGAGGAAGCAAGATATTCTCTACATTTGACAATGTTAAAGGTTTTTATCAGCTACATATTCATAAAGATTCGTGGAAGTATTTTGTCTTCACTTTGCCGCACGGAAGAAGAGTACAAGGGACAGTTCTTCCACTTGGGTACGTGAATGCGCCTTTCGAATATTTAAGATTTATATATAAATACACAATGGGTTTAAAGGATACGCATTTTTATATTGATGGCTGATTAACTAAAAGATGAAGTCGGCATTAGGAGTGCTCATTTAAGTTGATCGAAAAGTATGAGTTTTATTATGTTAAACTAAGTTTAGATAAGTGTAAGTTTGCCAGAAGCTGAGATGGATGACTGGGAAGAGAATTATCCAAACGAGGTGTGAGGATCTCGGAAAACCGAATGCAGGCCTCTAAAAATATGGAGGACAAACACTAGGGAAGAGCTTACAAGCCTCTTGCAAGCTTTAAACTTTGGAATCCTAAAGTAGGCTATTTAGAAAGGGATCGAGTTCGTTTGAAGGAAGAATAGGAGGAGGCGTGGAATAACATATTAAGTATTAATAAGAAAAACAAAAGTATTGAATTCGTTAATCACAGTTACCAATTGCTCTTGCAAAAAGATGAGATTAACGTTGGAAGAGTTCACTACACTGCATTTGTAAGTACAAAGTTTAATGATGCTCAAAGAAAAATATAGAAATTCCGATAGGGAGGCTTTAGCGGTGGCATGGTGCACAAATAAACTAGTAGACTTCCCTAAATTAAATAGTCAACGGCTCATAGTGGAGACAGCCTATAAGAGTTGGTTTGTTTAGAAAAAAATGTGAATGGGAATGGGAAAAGGGGGGGGTACACAATATTTCCCAGAAAGGGGAATATTATCGCAGGTTTGGTAGCCTACATTAACTAAGAGAGAGGAAGAAAAGGAGGCGGATAGCGTGTTCATGATAGTTTCTAACAAAACGACTAGGGAAAAAATTGAACCTGAAGTCACTATCAAAGAAGAAGTAGAGAAGTTACATAGACAATTATATTATATTGTGCAAGTAGGGTGATGCGGTTTTTTGGAGAAAACCTGAATAGAGGGCTGCAGGAGCAGGTCGTTCGTGAATGTAACACGTGTATTCAATTTTGTAATAGGTGCCATAAACCTAAAAAGCAGATGTATTTAAAAGAAATTGCTAAAAAGTTCATGGGACCTATGGCTGTGGATGTTTTTAAGATGCCTAAATTGCGGGAAGGTCACGAGAGCGAATTAATAATACTTGAGAGGTATTCTAGATTTGTATGGGCCCGGGCTTTTAAAAAGTTAAATGAAGAACTGGTAGTTAAATAGTTGAGATAATTTAAATTAAGAGGGCCTGCTAATATTATTAGGGATAAGGAGGCAATCTTTCATTGCAGAGAGGTGAAGCAGTTTTCAGAATAATTTAATACGAAAGTAAAGTTCGCACTGTCAACCATCATCAAGCTAATGGTATGGTTGAAAGGGTCATACAAACATTAAAAAAAGGGCTTAAAAAGGGCTTAATGAAAAACTATTATGAGAGTAAAAAAGATTGGAGTCAATTGTTAGACGATTATATATACTGTTACAACAGGATTCCGAATGCTTTAGGGATTAGCCCCCATTGTATGAGATTTAAGGAAAATGCTACTTTTGACTAGTTTACATTAAAAATGGGGAAAGAGAAGGAGCTCTTTGATGCTGAAGATGGTGCATCTTCAAAGGCTGGTCTAAGTTGGGAGAAGGTGAAAGATGGAAAGAGAACTGTGGGCGGAGAAGCAGCTAATGGCGGACAAAGACCATGAAAGAAGGATATGATAAAACGGTTAAATAAACTGAAGGCCTTAAAGTAGGTGGCACAGTGTACCTTATTATGAAGGCACGTAATAGATTAGATTAAGAACAGTAAGGCGGCCTTGCCACTATATTGGAAGTTCTTAACTATGGTAAATTTCTGACTCGACTGGACGAAAAAGATAAAATTTGTCATCGTTATCATTTAAGATAGTGAAGGTGGCCTTAACAAAAGGTACCTAGAGTATTAGGGCTCCTAGGGAACAAAATCTAGGTGGCTCAGTTTTTTAATCCCCCTGTGTTCCTGTTGGGGGAAAAGAGGATTTACTGTCTCTGTTTTTAAACGGAGGGACATACATGGCTTGGTTAAGCAGCTCCTGTCAAGGATGGGTAGATTTCAGAAGGGGAAAGAGTTTAGAACCTTTCAGGTGCCTACTGATGAAGAGGTTGAGCAGTCTAAGGCTATACTACAAGGGCAAGAGCGAACTTTTGCACCGAAAAGAGGACGTATAACTACTTCGTGCCGACTTTTGAAGGATCGACAATTTAGAACAGCGATTAAGGAGAGACTTAAAGAGCGAAGTATGTAATTTACTATCTGTGTTTAATAGTAAGTGGGGGAGGGGATGCAACTACAGGGAGGGCTAAGGGTTAGGGTAAACATATAATAGTCACATAGAAGACTGTTTTTTATTTCTTTTTCTTTTTCCTCTCTTGTTGTTTTAGGTTGTCCGCCTGTGTACGAACTGGGTGTATAGTAATATAGGGGATAGTTTAATAAATAATATATAAAATTTCTTAGAGCTAAATAATATTTGTTATACTTACGTAAGTCACTTTTTATACAGTGTTATCACTAAGGAAAAGAGCTAACAGATGGGTTAATATGGTAGCCGCGTGCATGTCCTTAGATATACATGGAGACAGCAGGCCACGTAGGAAAGGGTAGCTTCTCCGTTTAACTGAATGGATTACTTGCGCTTTAACTTCAAAGAGGCAACAGTCGCTGTCTTCTTTGACGTTGAAAGAGCATTCGATTAAGTTTAGTATAAAGGTCTGCTGCATAAACTGTGCTTGTTATCCGTTCCTCATGGCCTTTACAGCGTGCTGAAGTTATATCTAAGTGGCCGCGTCTTTAGAT